GCTTCGCATTAAAGAAAAATTAGCTATCGGGACAAATAAAAAATGCATTGAGTGTGAGTTGATCTGTGTGTTTTCAAAACAAACTGTGCTAATGCTTTTAATTAAGGGGTAGGGAAAATGAAGGGCTTTATCATCCAGTCTCCTAGGGCTATTATTTCATTGTGGATGGGTCTTCTGTTATTCTAAATGTCCACCTTTTTTGAAGGATTTGCTGTTAAATCAAATGTAGTTTGTATTTAAATTCCAGCTTGCCACATGAGCCCTCATTTATTTGATAAGGAACCATTGTTATGAAGAAGAATGTAGCGCTTAATTTGTATTGCTTAAGGGAGCTCAGGAATGCTCCATTTGCTCGTTTAGCATGTTAACGATATCATTTGGTCGGAAATGAATATGCAGCGCGATATAGTTGAGCAAAATTTGGAGGTGAAATTATAAAAGCTCTGTCAGATTACTCACTCACAAGGCTTCTGAAAGGACATGTTAAAGCGGTGCTGACAGCTTCATCACTGGTCCTGAGTCTCAGGTGGCTTTGGCGGGAGTGGCCATTAGCAGGGATGAGAGGATAATTTCGGTTTTCATGTTCGTTTAAGGTGTGATCTAATGCTCAAAAAGATCAGTGGAAAGACTCCCATTGACTTTATTGGCTGCTTAGGTTGGAGCTTTATGGTTTGATCCAATAAAGTCATTGGAAAGACTCCCCACTAACTTCAGGAAGCACTGGATTAGATCCTGAGGCTTTGATCCTGCAAAGATGTGCGAGTACTTCCATTGATTTCAGTGGAACTACTCACATTACATTAAGTTAAGCACATGAATATTAGCGGGATCAGAGCTCTAGTCCTTAAAATATTTGACTGTCAAAAAGGATAACAATTTGTGGGGGAGAGGGTGTGCACGTGGGCCATTGTTCACTAAGAACTGGTCTGTGGCCACCAGCTGGTTAGAAAACTGGGGGTTTTCTTCTGGGGAAAAAATTTTTTTGGTTAAAAGTATCAAAATCTGAAATATTTTCACCAAAAAAATAAAATATTTTGATTTTGAAATGCTAACTTGGTGCTTTAGGGGAGTTGTAGTTCACGTGTCTCATGCCCCTGTTCTCCTTCGTAGGCTGTGCTCCTTGGTCAGGGTGCATCATGAAGTCCAGTTGGTCAGCCTTGCCCATTGAGGAGAAAGGGAGTATGAGGTATCCGAACTATCCCATGAATCACTGCAGCAGCATTTCAGAATCCAGATATTTCAGTTATCAGGCATTCCGTTTTTCGTCAAAAATGTTGTTTTGTAAACACCGCCATTTTCCATTGATAAACAGTTTCACTGGAAAATTTTTGACCAGAACTAATTAGTATCTTTCTGTCACTAATGACCTAAACAAATTTGATGTAGAAGCAAAAGGCCCCAGAGCCCCCATAACTAGATCCCACAGCAGCTAGACACCTGTAACTAGCCCATGCCAGTCAATTCAGGCTCACGCCGCAGGGCTGTTTCATTGCTGTGCTGATTTCTGGGCTTGGGTTGAGGCCGGGCTCTAGGACCCTGCAAGGCGAGAGGCTCCCAGAGCTCAGGTTCCAGCCTGAGTCCGGAAGTTTATACAGCAATGAAACAGACCCGCAGCGTGAGCCTGAGTTGGTTGGCACAGGCCAGCCGCGGGAGTCTAGTTGCTGTGTAGACAGACCCAAAGTGTCCATGCCAGCTTCCCAGTTCCGAAGACATGAGAGAAAAAGGGGTTGTGCACATTCTGTGACAGAAAAAGTGTGACTTTTCCTTTAGTTTAATTCCTGATGGTAATCTAGGAAAATGGAGCTATTAGATGTTGGCATCTCTAACATGAGTATCATTTCAAAATGAATTGTTTCTGCTAAAGGTAGTAATCTTGCTACCATTAAAGCAATGAAATTGAATTCTTAAGTACTAGAGTAGAGCAAACCATGAAGTATTGTACTGCTTATTGAAACTAAGGATCAGATGGCTGCCTGAAAAAGAGTCTATTTAAGGTAGAGTATTGATAGTTCCTGTATTTACTAATTTAATATGCCAATTGTTCTATGATTCTATGTTAAATCTTATAATAGAAATAATCTGCACTTAATACTTATCACCCTTCATCCAAGGATCTCAGATAATTCACAAAAATGAATTAGGCCTCATACCATCTATGAGTCAACGAGTGATACCTTTACTAAGATAGAGTAGTATTTGCCTCCCATTGACTCCCATGGGACGACTCATGGTATAAGGTACAACCCAACCTGAGTATCACTGTCTGGCCCTGAGCAAGGTAGAGAAGTACTGTAAATAGCAACTTTATAGATTGGTAAACTGAGGCACGGGGAGGTTCTGTGACTTGCCTCATTTAAAGCATGTTTGTTAAGTACAACACAGCATATCAGTGGTCAAGCCAGAAATAGAAGCCAGACTTCCTGACTCCTACTGGCTGGCTTCTACAACGAGACCAGACAGCCTTATAGGAAACAACATGTGCTCATGGGGAAATACAGTGAGTTTTCTAATGATCATATATGATAGAATTTGCATTAAGGGGTGAAAGTCTTCCCTGTGCAACCCAAGGCCTATGCGCTTAGTCATGGGGCTTAAGTAGGAGTTAACTGCTGCATAGGCTTGTGCTGTCCCTCTGTTCAAGGTTGAATTTCACCCTAGTGAGGGCAATACCACCTCTTAAATACTAGGTTTATTTCCTGACCCCAAAGGATACTGGGGACAGAGCTCCGTTTGTATATGGGAATAATTTAAGGCCAAGGTGCTTTGGTGACCCTTCTGCACCCCTAAATACTACAGTCATGTTTGATTTTTTCCTTGCTGATATCCATAAGGGGTCCAGGCTTTGCTTCTACAGCTAGGATCAAAGTCTAGATTAGATGGGGAGGGAGGGGGAGTGTCTTTTATTATTCCATTTTACATTGGAAAATATCCCAGAGGATTCAGCTTTCCATATACCACAACCACAACAGATTTGCAAACCCGAAAGTAGCAAGAGCGTAACGATCTAGTTGTTTTAAGCCACATGCTCTGTGGAAAATCATAATTTTAGGGATGGGGTTCTGTTCAACCATGCCCATATCCTCAGCTGGCATAAATCAGAATAGCTCCCTTGTTTTCAGTGAACCATCTACATCAGCTGAAGATCTGGCCAGTGTTTTCAAACAATATTTACATTTGTTCTATCCTAGTTATTGAAGAAGAAAGAAAACTGCCACCAGTAGTAAATACACCTACCTATGAGTGCCCTTAATGTTTTATAGTTATTAGGAAAATATCCAGTGGGACTGTATTTCTTCTATATCATTTTGTGCATATGTTAATGTCAATCCCTGACACACGCTCATTTTTCTTAATCCTTTTCTGTTAATGGATACCTTGAGCTTGGCTGGCCTTCCAGAGGCTGAGAGTAATAATTTTGCTTCATCAATTAGAAAGCAAGAACTTTTGCAGGATTCTGGAGTCAAATCTTTCACACCTATCCTCTCGAGAGTAACTCTGGCTATTGGTAGAGCTGGGGAAATTATGCAACAAAATAGTGTGTGAATATTTGTCCAGTGTTTTTAATGAATTTGCTTCCTCCACATGATTGTCATTGTTATTCATTAGTGAGGCATATTTCCTTCTCTGGAATTATATTATTATTGTTATAATTTATATCACCCTGCAGATCCCACCCACGATCAGGGCCTCATTTGATTAGTCATTGTGCAAATACATAGCAAAAAAAGAATTGTTATTCTGGAGAGCTTACGTTCAAAATAGACGAGAGAAAAAAGGGAGAGTGGAAGGTAGTAGTAGTATTCCTACTCTACCAATGGGGAACTGAGGCAAAGAGACATTAAGTAACTTGCCCAAGGTCACCCAGGAAGTCTGTGGCTGAGCTAAGTTCAGTGCCTTAACCACAGAACTTCCCTTGCTCCCTTTAACGTGTATAGGCAGTTTAGCAGTTGAATTTTGTGCAGTCTTACTTCAGTGGCAAAATAATATCTAGGGTTACCATATTTTAATAAAACAAAAAGAGGACACTCCATGGGGCCCTGCCCCCGCCCCAACACCGCCCCTTCCCTGTCCTGGCCCCACCCCGACTCCACCCCTTCCCCGCCCAACTCCGTCCCTTTCCCAAAGTCCCCGCCCCAACTCCGCCCCCTCCCCTGAACGCTCCGCCCCCTGTTCCTCCCCCTCCCCTGCTTCCCGCGAATCAAATGTTCGTGGGAAGCCTGAAACAGGCAGGCAGCACGTAAGCTGGGGCGGTGGCGGGGGAGAGGGAGGGCGCGAGGAGGCGCGGCCCAGTCCGGGCCCCCTGGCCAAGCGGCTTCCTCCGGCGGTCGGCCCCGGCCAAGAGGCTCTGGCCCCGGCGTCTCCGCCCGGCTTGGCTCAGGCCCTGGGGTGCCTGCCCCGGCCGAGCGGCTCCAGCCCCAGCCCCGGCCCTAGCAACTCCAGCTCGGCTCGGGCCTGGGGCACCGGCCCTGGCCCCGGCCGAGCGGCGCCAGCCAGCGGCTGAGCACCCCCAGCCCCAGTCCCAGCGGCTCCGGCCCAGCTTGGCTCGGGCCCCAGTTCTGGCCGAGCGGCTCCGGCTCCAGCCCCAGCAGCTCCAGCACGGACCCCTCCCTATTTTCCCGGACATGTCCGGCTTTTTGGGAATTTCCTCCCGGACTGGGATTTGAGGACCAAAAAGCCGAACATGTCCGGGAAAAGCCGGACGTATGGTAACCTTATAATATCTCCCAAATAATGCTACAATTCTACAAGCACAGTGCTTACTACTGTGAAGCTGGTGGCACTACCCAGCGCAGGCCGCACTGAAATCAATAGGAGCTTACCAAAGACTCCAATGGCATCAGGATCAGGCCTTATTTTAGGTATTAGGTAACTTCCATTGAGTAAATAAACCTACAGTCCTTTTTAAAAAAAGAAAGAAAGAAAGAAAAAAGGAAAATGACAACTAAAAATTTTGCATTGCTCATAATGCTGTTTCTATTTTTTTTTTCCTCTTCCTGCAGGACACCTGCTATGATTGGCTGTTCATTTGTTGTAAACAGGAAGTTCTTTGGAGAAATAGGTCTTCTGGATCCTGGAATGGATGTATATGGAGGAGAGAACATAGAGCTAGGAATCAAGGTTTGTGAAATTGTTACCATTCTGTGCAATTTTTCTTGAAATTGTATTTTTAAAAAACTCATGCACAAGTATCTTTTTTAAAGACCAAAATCAATTAGAATTGGCATTACAGTCGAGCACATGATACTTTCAGTGGCACCTTAAAGGAAGAGTAAAGAAAACATTTAGTTACTTATTGGGAGTATATTTTGTCCTGTCCCCCAACATTTGCATATGGGGCAAAGCCTACTAAAACCAAAGGGAGCATTTCCAATTATTTAAGTAGGCTTTGGATCAGGTCTATAGCATCTGTTCATGATAACAAATTATAGATATGCGAAATATCAAATCCACTGTCAAAGAAAATATCATGCTTGTGTCTCTCACAGAAATAGTCTCATGGAAGGTGATGGGGATACTCGTTGTGAATACCACAAGCACGATTTGAATGCTAAAACGTCTTTTACAGACATTTAACAGCCACATAATAAAGTGCATGTATAAATTGGTGTAACCCACTTTAATTGTGATATATCAATAGGCGTATTTTCAGTAACGGCCACAAGAAACTACACAAGAAACTCCTGCTTACAATGTCTTCTAGTGCAACTTCAATTCATTACTATAAAGATATTAGATGTGGTTTAATGATTTGATTGTTTCCATAATTAGAGCCCTACCAAATTCACAGCCATGAAAAACGCGTTACGGACCGTGAAATCTGGTCTCCCCACCCCCTGTAAAATCTGGTCTTTTGTATGCTTTTACCCAATACTATACAGATACAATGGGGGAGACCAGCGTTTCTCAAATTGGGGGTCCTGACCCAAAAGGGACTTGCTGGGGGGGTCACAAGGTTATTTTAGGGGGGTTGCTGAATTGCCACTCTTATTTTTGCACTGCCTTCAGAGCTGGGTGGCCGGAGAGCGGTGGCTGTTGGCCAGGCACCCAGCTCTGAAGGCAGCGCCCTGCCAGCAGCAGCACAGAAGTAAGGATGGCAACACGATACCATGCCACCCTTTTGTGCTGCTGCCTACAGAGCTGGGCTCCCGGCCTGCAACCGCCACTCTCCAGCTGCCCAGCTCTGAAGGCAGCACCGCTGTCAACAGCAGCGCAGAAGTAAGGGTAGCAGTATCGCAACCCCCCTACAATAACCTTGCGACCCCCCCCCCCACACACAATTTCTTTATGGGACCCCTACGATTACAACTCCATGAAAGTTCAGATTTAAATAACTGAGATAATGAAATTTATTATTTTTAAAATCACATGACCCGTGAAATTGACCAAAATGCACCGTGAATTTGATAGGGCCCTATCCATAATATATCCCAAAGTGGTTCATAGACAAAAGATTTCAGTGCTTGCAAACAAACTTGCAGTGGCGGAGTCTATGGAGATCCAATCAAGCCTGGGCTTAGAACATACTATTGGTTAGATTAAGGAGCTGATAGTGGGAGAGACCTGAAACTTGCTCATAACTGAAAAATTGAATTAGTGCTGTTGTAAAAAATGAAAAGTCATTGTTTATTTCATAGATTTGCCAGATGATATTTGCTTTGCTAGACAATCAAAAGCAACTTATAAAATCTGTTTTTATTGAGTGTGGGGAATAGTAATCTCATTTAAACAAGGGAATAGAAGATAAAGGCCTTAAATATGCCACGCAATTCCACTCCTTATGGGGTAATTATTGCACCATGAGCATGCAATTGATGCCCTGAGTCTAGAGGTATCAAACTCTCTTGTAACCACCTTCATTTGTTTGTTTCACTTTTTTATGTTGCTATCATTCAGCGATTGACAGAGATGGTATAGTATTTAGTAAAACTATTCTTCTTCTAGTTAATAATTCAACCCATCTGTTTAGTCTGAGAGGATTTCAATGGAGATTGCTAGAAAAGTAAGATAGTTGTTCAAGGTACAAGCAATGATCAGAGATGTAATATTTTTTTATATATTGTGGATCTATTAAAAGAATATCTCTACTTGAAAGATTTTGAAAATTCCCACCACCCCATCCTAATCTTTATTTTTTCCAATGTGTATACATGCACGCACACACATATTATATATACACACTCTGGCCAAGACTTTCAAAAGTAATTAGTGGTTTGGGGTGTATATACATGTGGGTCTCAAACTTATGACATTTTTTAAAAGGCCTGCTTTTCAAACGGTGCTGAGCATGTCCCCTCTGAAAATCAACCTCCTTTAAGGTGTCTCAAGTTGGGCATCCAAAACTGCAGGTAAATAAAATTGCTAGTCACTTTTGAAAATGTTGGCCTTCGTGTAAAAACTCACAGTTACACCATATGGGCCCAGTCTTGCTCACAGTGAAGTTGTTTGGTGTTTTGGTACTAAATACAATAGAATGGTGGCTTTTGTCACAGTTGGTCTGGTTTGCACTGTATATCAAGGTTCCATTTATAAATTGTTTATACAGGGTTAATAAATAATTAATTGACATTTTAATAAATATAGCATCCAACCAACAAATTGTTTTAAACTCTGGCTTACAACCATCTATAATATGCTTATAACACCTATTAACCTTCAGAAACCATTGCTAAAGTTTATCTTAATATGAAATGTTTGATTGGTTGCTGAATAATTTTAAAGTGTGGCAGTTGTCAAAAAGTAATTGTGTGGTTCTTTGTTTACTCTGTCTCAATGCCTCTCAGCTCGAAAGTGACTCAGTTTACAAGTCAGAAGATAATGGTTTTCTCTTTGGTGATGATGCAAGTTCCACTTTCTTTCTGAAAATCATGCTGTATTTTAATATAGTTTAATATTTATATTACTAAAAACCCATCATATGTTTCTGGGTGCATATACCTATCTCCTAGAACTGGAAGGGACCCCAAAAGGTCATTGAGTCCAGCCCCCTGCCTTCACTAGCAAGACCAAGTACTGATTTTGCCCCAGATCTCTAAGTGGCCCCTTCAAGGATTGAACTCACAACCCTGGGTTTAGCAGGGCAGTGCTCAAACCACTGAGCTATTCCTCCTCCAATATATGCATGTATACATTTGTTTTAAAGTACAAAAATTAGACAATAGACCAAAGGGACAAAAGCCCACCATCTCAGACATCCAGCAAAAACATCAGTTAAACATACTACGGCAGGGGTTCTCACAACAATTTTTAGTGGCCTCAGAGCAGCCACCAACTCTTGCTGGTGGCCGCTCTGACAAGTTTAACTAAAATTCCTAATTAAGTTTAGAAAAGACAAATAAATATGCACATATACTTGTCCAGAACATTGCAATTTATTTATGTTGAGATTTTTTTTGCACACTCAATAATAAAAATAATGTATACTTGTCTCTATTCTTTACTGGACCTAAACAGAATAGAAAACACAAATAAGGGCATGTTCTTGTCTTTGTTGTTGTTGTTTGTTTGTTTGTTTGTTTGTTTTGCTTTTCTGGTTTCTTGCTTGCTAGCTAGTAAGCTGCTGCTGTGAAAAGTGATATTAACAAACATACAAATATCACTTTTCACAGCAGCAGACTTACTCAGCCCTGGCAAGCCCGGGGACAATTTAAGCTCTGGATGGGGCAGTGGGTAGGGATGCATTGGGGGCCGGAGGCAGTGGGGAGAATGGATGGGGGAGGCAATGGGGGGTCAAAGGAGAATGGATGGGGGTGAGCCCAGGGCCGGAGCCTGTTGCCCACCACCCCAGGGACGGGGGGGAACTCACTAGCAGCCTGTTCCTCCAGCATTTGTGTCTCCCCTCTGGCGGCCTTCGGGAGGGGGCACTGCTTTGCCTCCCTCCCCCATCACTGCCCAGGAGACTGTATCTGCAAGAAAAGCCCTCGGTGGCCGCATGCAGCCACAGTGACCGCACTTGAGAAACACTGTTCTATGGTACAATTAAATGAAGGTGATTTAAAAAAAAAGGATCACAGTAAAAAAATAAGGTTTTATCTTGTCCTGTATTTAAAAAGAACATGTACTTTACAAGAATCTGATTTATAAATATGTTCAGATATATGTACAGTACATATGGCTATAAAATGCAATAAAAGAAATCTATCTATTTACTTGCTGTTATTAATTAGCTCAAATGAGAGCATTGACACATTAGTTAAATGGTTCACTCTGACAAAAAAGTTATCCATGGTTAGGGCTGCAGATAACCCTGGCGCTAGAGTTTTTGCTGCCCTCTACAAAGTGGAAAACATCCTCCTACCCTGTAGTCACTCAAATAATAATAAACCCACTAAACATTTTGCTGCCTCTAATTTCTTGCTGCCCTAGGCAATTTCTTGTTCTACTTGCAGGGTAAACCTGGCCCTGGCATGGAGCACAGATTGTTCTTTGTATTACTGTCATTCCTCTTATCTCACTACAGTGACTCTAGAAGGAGTTCACATCTTGTGCTTAGTCTCTCTCCCTGTCCCTAAAGTCGACTACTTCATATCCTGAGGCAGCACTAAAAAAAAACCAAAAGAATAAAATCGCTGTCAGCCTGTTCTTGGCAGAGAAAATGGTGGTGTCCACTAGGCAAAGGAGTTCAGGGTAATATTTCAACGGAGATGTTTTCAACAGCATTTATTTATTTATTTGTTCATTTATGTCAAGCTATTCCTGGCCATTGATTTATCCCAGTGCTAGGTCTTACTACACTTGCTGCATGCCAGGCCTGTATATTTGAACAGCATTCCCTAGAGTTAGCAACAAATACCTTCCACAGCAGGCCATTTTTTATCAAAATTCTACCCTTCACGGTTATTCCACAACAGCAGAGTTGGTCACCAGCTCTACCTGCTGTGGCTGGAGAATATCGAAGCCCTAGATGTCTGAGCAAAGAGCAGTTGTAAGAATGCATCAGCTTTTGAACTCTGTGGACATTTTCACTTCACTAATATAAAGCCCTTGAATGTGGTCTCAGGACACCCCTTGACTTCAGAGGTAGATTTGGGTCTTTACCAATGTCAAGGTTGTATATTATGTATGCAGTTCCAGCCTCGGTGCGGGAAAGGACTTAAGCACACACTTTTCATAAAAAGTTT